TGTCCGCTAGTTCGGACTCCGTGCCGCGCGGCTACACACGGCACGAACTAGGTAGTTCGGACTAGGCTTCCTATTCCAAACTACTGTTACTCCTCATTTCACAAGGAGTAACGGTAGTTCGGAATAGGAAGCCTAGTCCGAACTACCTAGTCCGTGCTGCATGTAGCCGCGCGGCACTGAGTCCGAACTAGCGGACATTTAAAAATGGCGGCGCCCGGAAAGATGCAAATGAAGCCCGGGAAATTCAAATCCTGGGCTTCATTTGCAACTCCGGTTGACTACATTACCACCCTAGTTCGAACTAGGGTGGTAGTGTAGACATACCCCCTCTGTGAATACTGAGTCAATTAAGTATTGGATTGGAAAAAACCCAGAAGAACAAGCTTCCACATGAGACTTTTGGTACTCCCTACCTCTCATTGGGTCAGAAATACTTGGGAGGAACATATCAGTGTTTTTGACTCTGGTTCATGTTACACTGAGCTCCATCAAGATACACATTTATAGGGTCAGATTTTCAAAAGGCAACAAAATGAATGGCCATCTGTTCAAAGGTTCTCACCATCCAATATGTTGAAAGTCTGGCTGGAAGTATCTCAATAGAGCTGCTGAATCCTGATCTCCTTTGAAAATCTGATCCTGATTTCTTTTGGCCCTAGAAAACTAGAAGGAAGGAAGGAGGGAAGGAAAGACGCCCACTCCCATGGCCAGCTGATGTGCTTTTAGTACAGGACCTAGGTAGGGGAGAGAAAGATGGCCTTGAGCTAAATTATACATATCAGAGAAGTCCTTATAAGGTCAGCTATCTGTTCCTTGTGTACTGCTGAAAAGACATAAGGGGTATGGAGCCAGTGGTCAGAATCTGGTCCAAACTTTAAAGTTGGTTTCAGTTGGGGTAAACTGGCTGGGATCACAGACCCAGACATGAACTTCAAGCCCTGGAGCTTTCCCCACTGCCATTATGGATGCACAGAATGCCCAACCATTCCCCTTCTAGTTCAGATATGCCAGCGGCTGCTTCATTTGTCTTGTAAGCCTCCTTTACTTTTGCTCGACTGGATATCATTATCAGACAAGCCTGGACTCCCAGGGGCTTGGGAAAGTATACCTTATTTGGATTAAGATTTTCAGGAAAAAGTTATTTTATCCAAAGTGATCTGTGCAACTTCAACCTCTGTTAAAAGAAATAAATCTTTGTTTAATGCCCAAGGGAACAGCACAGGAGTGAAACGAAGTGGGTATTGTTATAGGATGACTCTTTAATCTCATGTGGGACATTAAATGCATTCCACAGATTTAGGAGGAACCCTCCATAGGATACTTTTGACCCAATACCCATTAGCAAACTAATCTGTTGTCTGAAGGGAAATGACTGCACAGCTTCTCTGCTAATTAGGACTTTGGGTAAAAAAGACATGGAGTCTGGACAAAGAGAAGAGCATTAGCAAGAAGGGCAGCATCAGGGGAGACAATGGATGGCTTGCAAATCAATGCCGAAGCCTAAGTTCAGAAGCTGAGGAATACTGAGGTGTAGGGGGAAGTAAAGGATGAGAAAATGAAATCTTCCCATGTACCAGGAATAGATTTGAGCTGCAGTCACCTTTGGCTCTGAATGGGAAAAAGGAAAAGCTAGTTCACACACAGAGTTTCCTAGTTCTGTGGGTGTTAAGTCGAATAGAACTAAGTCCTGCATTTCTTACGCAGCTGAAATTCCCATTGATTTTGGTGGGCATTGTAGCTGAGTAAGGAGTGCAGAACAAAGCCCTTATAGATCAGCATGTAGTTATTTCAGATGAGCCTCCTAGTTCACTTGCACCACAACAATGAAGAAGCAGAATCCTTTCAGTCAAGGAGCTTTCGGTGCAAAGAGAGACACAATGCAAGGCGGGTTTACATTGCACTCACTGGACACACGTTGGACTTGATACCAAACCATTCTCTTTGATGACTGATTAATGCTCACTAGACTTCATGGGAGAAGTAAGCTTGCCCAGGTTGCTCAGGCCTCCTCTAACTTGCATGCATGTTTGTCCTTTACATAAGCCCAATTTGTTTGTGTAAATGAAACTGTTCTCTGGCAACTGCAGACAAGCCTTCCTGGTGGGGGGAATTCAGGTGTCAGATTTGTCCTGAGCTGTGAGAGGCACAGTACATTCAGAGGCTGGGTATGGATGTGACGCTGTCATATATTGCTCATAAGCACATGAAATGGCATGGACAGGCTCTGGAAGCAGCTCCCACCAGCCATCCTCAGCCCCACAAGAGTGAATCAGGATGGGGACAATGGGGATGATCTTATTCCCTATGGAATAAGCTATGCTTAGATCCATCTCAGTTGCATAATGTCTGAAGGAAGGCTGTTCAGGGGCACTTACCTAGCATCCCTTTGTTGGAGCTGGACAAGCACATATCCTTCTCTGCGCTGGGCAGAACAAAGCCAACCACAAACACCTCCACCCCGTCCGCCATCAGTGCCAAGCCTAAAACAAAGAAGAGTGTCCACTGGAAGCGCCCATGGCCACACTCCTCAATGATGTTCTCATACTGGTGAGCCAGCTGCTCCTCATCCTCCATCCGCTCTGCTATGAGCTCAGCCTTGTCTCTAAACTCATCAACCATGGCAGGGGCTTTCTTCTTCTGTTTGGACTTCATGTCATCTGGGTGAGGGATGCCCTGGTACTCTCCATCGTAGACCTCGTCGTCTTCATCGTGGCCTTCTGTGGCATCACTCTGGGCATCCTCTTCTTGGGCAGGCTCATTCCCATCATGGTAATAGCCATCGGTGGGGGCATAAGGGTCATAGTTGCCATCCTGATACCTGTAGTCATCGGACACCTGGTTCATCTCTCTGGCTATGTCCTTTGCTCCTTGATACAGATTTGCACTGTTTCTATGTCGATTATCCATTCTGAGCATATAGTTCTATACACAGTATAGTGCTGTGTGTGTATATTTTCTAATATATGAGTGTGCTTACTGATTTGTGCAGTCTCTAACACCAGCTACACAAATATAACTTCCCTCTGATTAGAAATTGACCTGATGCTCAGTGCAATGAGCTCACAAAGAGAATGGCTGTAAACTTTCAGGATAGAGTTTCTTACAAAGCTTTTGATAATGTTTCAGGTTTGAGCTAGATGTTGTTGACTTGCTTCTTTCAGTAGGAAGGAAGGTGTAGTTTGGAGTGTTGACCAATGATACGTGAGAGATCCGTAACTTTGTACAATCAGGAGCTAGGAAGACTTGGCAGGTTCTTCTTTACTCTGATCCATTGTGAGGATGACAGTCATTCCCTGAGAAAGAAAGAGAAACAGCAATGAGACGATATTGAATTGAGAGGAGAAAGGCAGAGAATGAAATAGACAACTTTCCTAATACACTCATTTGTATCTGGAAGGAGATAGAATATTCAGAGACTGTTATTACACCTTATAAATGGGGGGCATTTAAAAGCTATCATATGGCAGAGAGACCATAATTACAATACAGTACTGATGTCCCAAATTGTGCCTGACACGTATTCCTAGAAGTCCACAGCATTGGTTTCCATAGAGGACATAATGGTCTTGAGTGGTGCTGATTGATCAGTGCCTTTAAGGCACTAGAGAAATATGTCTGCCTACTTGGAGCCCAGCCTTCATGATACTTAGGCACTCGTTATCTTAATGAAAGAAAAAGTCAGCTTTGCTTTTTGGTTTTTAATTCAGATCACAGAGGTAATTTTATTTTATGGATTTTTTTAAATGTATCCCCATCTGGACAAAAAGACTTGACAGATGCAGCGTGTGCAGAGAGAAATTATTTTCCCACCCACCCATACCCCATTTATTCAATTTCTAACAGCCACTGGAAGAAAAGTTTTCTCAGTCAGCAACAAATTAAGTTAAAATGGAATCATGACCCTTTTCGGGGGGAAAAAACTGAGTGAAGCCAAATCATTTATAAACATCCTCAAATTTTGGACCCCTGTATTCAATTATTTTTCAAGTGGATTTCAACTAGTTAGCTCTCTTGTGTCATTTCCTGTTATTACACATAGCTAAAAACAAAGCTTTTGATAAAAGGCATCAGTTGCTATACACAGTACATTCATACTATAAGAGATGCTATACAGATTTGGTATTTGATTGTCTTTCAGGTACTAATAAAAATAAAATTAAAAATGAACCATTAACTGCCATATCTATCTACATCTGTAACCTGTGAATTCTATCATTGTGTGTGTATATGTAAACATACACTTATGTACACTCTGGCTACGTCTAGACTGGCCCCTATTGTGTGTGTATATGTATACATACACTTATGTACACTCTGGCTATGTCTAGACTGGCCCCAAATTCCGGAAAAGGGATGCAAATCAGGTAAGTCAGCATAGGGAAATCTGCGGGGGATTTAAATATCCCCCGCGGATTTCCCTATGCTGACTTACCTGATTTGCATCCCTTTTCTGGAATTTGGGGCCAGTCTAGACGTAGCCTCTGTATTTGTGTGTGTGTGTGTGTGTGTGTGTGTGTGTGTGTGTGTGTGTGTGTGTGTGTGTGTGTGTGTGTGTGTGTGTGTGTGTGTGTGTGTGTGTGTGTGTGTACAGTTGTATGACACATAAAGGCGATATTCAACATAACAATGCCACCGCTCCACTTCACAGTATTATTTCCATCATGTGGGCACTGTGCAAATGCCATAAAAATGAAATTATGTGCACACAATTCTGATAGGAAATTCAGTAAAATCAACATTGTGAAATGCTCTGAAGAGAGCCACTCATGTTACATTCTGGGAAAAAGCATTGCAGTCAAAGCAGTATTTAAAATATCATTTTGATTACAACAGATTCTGCTGGTACAGCAAGGTCTTCCTATACTACATTGAAAAGACTGTCCTTGAGTATGAATGGGAATCCTCTGAACAGTTCCATGTGTTTATGCAAAGCCCCGTGAGTCCTGTTGCATAATGTTTACAATGGAATCAGGAGTTTCATTCAGAGTAAAACAGCTTTTGCTCCGGCATCCTCTATGGGTACATCTACACACCAGTGTTATTTCGGAATAACTATGACTATTTATCTATGACTACTCATATCTTATGACTAGGTTCAGGATTGGGAATCAGGATTGGGAATCTGTACCAGCAGAATCTGTTGTAATCAAAATGATATTGTCAATGCTGCTTTGACTGCAATGCTTTATCCTAGAATGTGACATGAGTAGCTCTCTTTAGAGCATTAGACAATGTTGATTTTACTGCATGTCATATCAGAATTGTGTGCACATAATGTGAAAATAATGTTGAGCTGGAGGACTTCTTACTCTAACTCCTGTAAACCTCATTTTACAGGAGTAAGGGAAGTCAGAGGAAGAGTGCTCTTCCTTCAACTTCCTGCTGTGTAGACAGCGCCAAAAGCCAAAATAAGCTTTTTCAACTTAAGCTACACAATTGACGTAGCTCAAGTTATGTAGCTTATTTCAGCTTTAGCACTGCTGTGTGGATGTGCCCTAACAGATCTCCTGTCTAGCTCATCTAGAGCACCACTCTTCTAACCTGCTTATGGAGCCTACTAAGGGCATGTCTACCCTTATTTCGAAATAAGAAGTGGAGCATCCACAGTACCAAGATTGTTATTTTGAAATAACAACTCCTGCTATTATTTCTGGAGTTATTATTTCAAAATAACCTGGTAGAGTAGACATAGCCTTATAACTGGGAGGCACCATCTTGCTGCTCATGCACATATAATTTGGAAGAGGCAGGTCCCAATATACTGCCATTACTACTGTTTCCAACAGAATTGCCATATTTGTGGTATGCCAAGTAAGATCTCCCTTCAAAGCTACATTAACTTTGATCTATGATTTCTCTCTAAGTGGCATCACAAGCTTTCCCGGCAGCAGGTAATAACATCATGTCCTGGGAGGTGTGCCAATAAGGCTCCAATAACTGAGTCTCTACGACTGCACAGGTGCGTTTATACCCCCTGGCCCCTGCTAACCCAAGAATCAGCCAGTCATTGATGCACTAGTGGTTTAACTCTTATGTCTTGAAACAAAGCAGCTGCTCTATACTAAATGCTGAATAAAGCTTGTCCCCACATTTAGTGCTGGAGAGTATTCTGTGGTGGATAATCCAGCAGGGGTATACGTGACATGACCTACTAGCTTGCAAGCATCCTTCATTTCTAGGATTCAGTGCTGTTTAAGGGACTGCATTAGCATGGGAATAGAAGGGAGGGAGAGAGAGATGGGGAGCTGCCTTCCCCTAGTAAAGTGGGGAAGCAGAGTGCTCCGAAGGAAGAAGGTGTGAGCAGGGCCTTCACCATGCTGGGAATGAACGTGTCTCACTATCCTCAAGTACAAAACTTGAGAGTGGTTTTAAGTGCAATCAATTCTGCATGAGATGGGGAGCTGCCTTCCCCTATTAAAGTGGGGAAGCAGAGTGCTCCAAAGGGGATGAAGGAAGAAGGTGTGAGCAGGGCCTTCACCATGCTGGGAATGAACGTGTCTCACTATCCTCAAGTACAAAACTTGAGAGTGGTTTTAAGTGCAATCAATTCTGCACTACCCCCAGTCAGGCAGAATCCAAACATGAATAGGGGCCACTTACAGTATAAGGAATATAGAAAATAAGAATCTTTCGGCATGAGAGAGGTCAGAATGCTGAGCTCAGTCTTTCTGCTCCTTCTCACCAACATGTGCAGTCCACAGTATATGTTTTGTTAAAAGTACAGCATGTACACTGGCTGCTTATTCTTCATGGGGTGCAGGATCAGGCTTCCTCCATGGGTGCAGTAAGAGCATCTATCTTTGCTTTAGCTCCCAGGACATTTGTCACTGCATTAAGCACATTTCCCATGTCCATTCTTTTTGCTGAGTCACCCCATATATTTTCCATTAGGTTAAAAAGGCAATAGGGCTATTTTCTAGGACTGTGAAAAATCAATCAATAAGCAACCTCCCCCCCACCCTCTCAGACTTGTGAAAAATCAATCAATCAATAAGCAACCTCCCCCCCACCCTCTCAGACAGAGGCAAGCCTTTCAAGTCAAAAAGATCCAGTGACTTTAGAGCATGTGGCAATAAAGAGAAGCATTTTCATCCACTCTGGATGTGCTCCTATGCAAAGAAGTTAATACACTGACAGCTAAAGGAGGCATTTCATATTTTTGCATCTAGTGTTTCATCGCTGAAGGGCTGCCAGTGTGGGTTAAATTCCCAGACTCTTTTAGAGTCCTAAAATCCATCTCACTTACGAACTAACTTTTTCCATTATATGAAAGTTCTACGGGTGGACATCATTCTGTTTCAGGAAGTGAAACTGTACTTCCACGGAGAATATTTTCTTCTAAATCTAAAAAGGAGAAAGGAGGGAGTTTTAAACGGGAATAAGCTGTGCTGGTACAAAGAATCCTGAAGAACATTAGACCCTGCTGTTGAATTGTTTAAATGGCATTTGTGGACAGGTTAGGGTTCAAAGTGACCGTGCCAGTCTCAGCCTGTCAAATCAAAGAAAGTGACCTGGACAGTTGCCACTTTCTTTTCCGGAAACAAGACATTGCTCCCTGCTGATTGCTGTGAAGGGGAATTGTTCAGCTTTCTTTGTAGAGGATATAATCATTATTAACAAGCTTTTCAAGAGTGCAGATGAGCAACAGACTTTAAGATCCCAAATCAGCAGCAGAATTTGGGCCCAAGGTGCCTGATTTCTATTAAAAAGCTGGGCCTTTATACCTAGACATGAACTGAGGATTCTGTGCATCACCCAGAATCACAGGCGACAGAGATGAAGAAGGCCTATTTGTGCATCCGGACCATCTGCCTGCCAGGTGAACATTGTTCCTACTATCTGACACCACTTGCATCCAGGGTGCTGTACAGAATGCAGGGAGTTAATACCGCTCTCTGACCAGCCCTACAGGCTAATGATAACATCAGATGGTGAAGTGTGAATGTGAACTATATAACCCTGAGCTGGGCAGGTAAAAAGCTTTGGGATTCATATTTTGCAGGGCTGTTGGCTGTACTGAGTCTGATCTGGATGGTTAACAGTAGTGGCCCATGGGCCCATCTTACTTCATAGCTATACCATAGCCCTTGTCTTTTCCTTCATTTTGCAGCTGTTCTACAGATTGTAGTCACACCCAGCTGAGACATTCCCACTGACTCTAGCAGCATGCACTCTCCTCTGCTAGGGCATGGAGTAAGGCAGCATGTACTCTTTCAGAGTGCACCCTCCTGGGAGCGGTCTTGCCCTGCCGAGAATGCTCTGTCACACAGACATTTGCTCTGTCTCTCATACT